CTTCCCCCTTTCTTCACCCTCCGTGAGATTCTCGTTCCATGCACAGCCAAAAGATCAGGGAGGAGAGAGAGACAACACAATACGCTCGGCGCCCGCCCTCCCTGTCATACCAAGTGACTCATCAATTCATGGGGTAAGCTAATATTCTGTGACCGAACGAATTGCTAAACACCACCTGCAAAAGTGGTTTTTAGTTTGGGTAGAGATTTCAAGAAGAAAATCAAGAGATAAGAGACAAGAAGGATGATAAGGCTGCGTTACACCAGTTTCCTCTGCGTTTATGGTGGATTTCTCGCATCAACGTAGCCGAAGCAGGTGGGGAAAGCTAGGCACGTAACCCCGATGTTGGAGCAGCGTGCGAGGAGGAAATAGCCCGCCGGAATTCATCACAGAGCAAGCCTGCGTGTTCCTCCATCTTGAGACGTGCCACAGTTTCCCCAGCCTTAAACAAAAAAGGGTCTCGGCCTTGAAAACCTCCCGAATCTAACTTTGGTCACGTCGTCCGGTCAGTTGCGCCGCCTCAACGTTTCAATTTAACCTAGTCTCGGACTAGACAAGATGCCCCTCAGTCCATCAGTACATGGAAGTATTAACTAAATTGGGCCATCGATTCCAAGTTTCCCGAATAGCGTGGCTTTTGACAGCTGCTAGCATTGATCGGCTGATGGGCAGAAAAGCTGACGAGGACGTGAGGAGGAGGGGATCGCATTCATGAACGCCGTGGAGAGAGGATTACAGGGTATTGATGTATTTGAAGTTGGGGTCGATACGATTGCGCACCCATAAAGTTGGCCTTTGGAAATGGACAGTACCTTGGGCTTCCCCGATCGAGGCCCAACCTCAACACCGAGTCTCGCCCCCATCTAGCAGCGAATACTGAGGCCTACCTAAATTGCGCATCGGAGGTATTTACTCGGGATTCCATGATAATTACAAGAGAGGAGTTGCACCTAGACTGCATTAGTAATTTTACACCAGGGCATCTAACACTCAATGGTTCTGTTCATTTTCAGCGAGCGTCCTCCATCACAGGTGAAGCTCGCCCATGCAAGCAGGCGGCAGGATAGATCGGGTGGTAATTGATCTAGAGATTGCAACATACTCAGGGCCTAGCAGATCAAAGCCCCAGCAAGTGCATAACCGAGCACTTGGGACGGACCATGCGGCCCCTCACTCGCAGAGGTGTCAGATGATCGATCCCATGCAACTTGGCACATATCTTTCATCCTCCCAAGGTCCGATTTCTGACTCATTCATTCACCCAAGGGATGTTTCACTGTATTAAATCCTTCTTCTCCAAGAATGACATACCACACAAGAACACCGACCGAGAGCGACAGATTTGAAGGGGAGTTGTAGAGTTCAGTTCAGGTTAGGTCAGTTGACAATGGATGTGAGTGTGGGAAAGAAGCCTTGGAAAGGGTGGGGCCAGTTAGCTCAGTGGCGGGAGGCCCTACGAGTAGTCTATGGCATTGTCCATAACAAGGCTAATTATTGATCATTTCCCTCCCGCTGGTCTCAAGCCCCTTTTAAGCAACAGCGAAAACGTCATGAAGCCCCAAACTTCATTTTGAACAGGGCTTGGTTCGTTGGGCGTCGTTTTAACAAACCCCAGCGACAAATTCAGTAACTTAAGCGCAGCCTCTGCGCCCTTAATTCTTCATTATATAGCTATAGTCAAAGGTGGGCGGGCATGAGTTGCTGTTACAACTTCGCTGGCGGGGCCAGCTGCCGTCAGTGAACCAGGGTTTACTATGGGTGGAATGCTTCTATAAATAATAAATATATAAGAAAACTATAATAAAATAGTTTTATATTAAATATAATATATCCCTATTAAAATCTATAGTTAAAATAGAAATATTTTAAATAACTTATATTATATTAAAACTTCCTAGTAGCTATAGCCTATAGGTACTTGCTAAAATTACTTAATAGCCTATAAAATCACTATCTAAAATCTAAGAGAATATAAAAAGTTATTTAATATATAGGTAGCTAGGAAAGTAGAATTATCTTCTTTACTTACTACTAACACTTAGCTTCTACTTCTATTAGTAAGTATTATATCTTATTAAAATATAATACCTAAAAACTTTCGAGGATTAGTAACTCTCACAGTGATGTAGAGATCATCACATCTCCCTAACTGCTTGCTGACAGCTTAGTTGTCTGCAAGCCAGTTAGCACGACCTTTGGTTATAACAACTTAACTGAATAGGAACATAGCCTACTTAACTATCACTAATCTCGCTTTTTTCCCGAAAAAAGAAAACACCTTTCCTCTAAATATTTACTAGCTTGGTGGCTACTGAGATATAATCAATATGAGATCTAGCAGTTGTCTTTTGGGGCCAATCTAATATACTTCATAGAGCGCACAATTGTTTAGGTCAAAGCTATCAGGCGTTGTATACAGGGACTTGGTAGTTATGAAAAGTCATACACCATCAATGCCTCCCGTCCCGTCCCTGTCTGCTTTAAGACTATGACCATCTCATCATCGAAGCCAACCCAGCTCCGTCGATCGTCCCACACGGATGGCGGTGGCACTTGGGTGGATGCCTGCGGAAGATCACCGGGGTTTGGGCTAACCCGGATGCTTCTGCCACCGGAGCGGCCCTCAAGTTCCCAGACACGAATTTCGTCTCCATGGTAGCTCACACTAACCGCCTTGCCGCGTGACGTAATCTCCGCACCTCCAATACCCGACGTGTGTCCCCAAAGGCGTATACCGCGAGATATAGAAAGACCGGTGGAGCCTGTTGTGCAAAGATAGAGGATAAGCGTGTTGTCAGGTTGGATCGCGAGCAGGTAGGGGTGCGTATAACACAAGGACGTTGGTCCGTGTAGCGGTTTGTTGTTGCCTTCTGAGATGTCAGCCTCTTCGTCATGAAACAGGCCTGGCACTTCTGAATCGAGGCGTCTAGGAGCTCGTCTAGGAGTTCGTCTCGTAGTTTGGCCAGTAATTATTGGAGGGGCATAGGCCATGCGGGACTCGTAGACTTCTGGCGTTGCTCTCATTTGTGTGTCAACAGCTCTTAGCTGCAATTCCTGGACACCTATCGTCCAGCCCTCTCGGGTAAGTAGAGTGTAGGCAATAGAAATAGCGGTTGATGATGGCATCTTCCTGATAGAGAGTGCAGGGGGTCGATGTTGCATGCGACTTGAGGGAGGTCACAAGGCGAGGTAAGGGCGCGGTAGAAAATGTGTTCCCCTTTCTCACAACATCAGTCTCAGAAGAGCGACTCGGCGATGCATCGAGCTTCCTGGCTAGGTCCGGAACTTGTTTACTAGTCATATCAAAGGCGTAGAGGAATACACAGGCGTGACTCGTTGCCACAAGGAGATACGGGAAGTGGTAGGCCAGAGAAACGAGCTTTCCGTCAGCAGCCCTATGATAGTAATACTGCCTTACTAGCATTTCTCCAGTAAGGTCGAGAGTCCATACACCAAAACTGCCATCAATAAAGCCTAGCGCGACCCCGAGTCGTCTCTCGTCCACGGTCTGGTCATCAACGGCTATACATGTGGGCTCACATGCGGTGGTACTGCTGTCAAGCCCTGTGTACGCCAATAGCCTCTTAGACCTTAGGTCCCAGGCGCGAAGGCCAGCTGCAAAATCGGCAGTGAAGGCGACACCATGGAGGGTCTTTGCCAGTGTTTGCCCTCGTGGAGAGTTAGGCACCAGCTTAGGCGAGCCTACATGTAACTCCTCCACTGCGCATCTTCCCCTGGACCAGTTATGGCGAAGTCTATATTGCCGCTTCCAATCAACATTTGAACTATCACCCTGGGTCAGCGATTTACGAAGGTTCACACCACTGTGGCGAAGGATGGTTCTATTGTTGGGAGTATCATGACGGGAAGGGTTAGAACGAAATCCCGGGATCCGCAAAGCCCGAGGTAAGACAAATTGAAGATAGTATAATTGCCGCCACAGCTGGGAATCGGACGATAGTCTGTGAAAACGGCGGGAGACAGACGAGATACCAAGAAGGATCGAAAGCGGGAAGTAGGAGAGAATGCGGACAAGGAGCTCATCGGATAGAGATGATGTAAAGTCCTGCGACAGCCCGGGAGATCTAGAATCGCAAGCGCTAGAATCACCCCGGTCAAGGTCGTGGTGCGAATGAAGAATATCCGTTCTCCCGCGTTTCGAAGGGCCTTGGGTGATCCTATCAGTCAAACTCGATACAGCAGGTCGCTTAAATGGCATCGTAGTGAATGAACAACGTAACGAGGATATTAGAAGTTAGTTTGTTGTTCGGCGAGATTGTCCCCATCGCAAGGAGGAGGCTGCGCGTCCGAAACTGCGAGCTATAATTTGCGTTGCGATTCGATCTTATAAGGTCAACCAAAGTTCGCGCTGACCCGTCTCTGGCTACGCCTCATTAATGCATTGCTTGTTAGGCAACGTCGACGGCTTATTCAGCGAGAGACCACCCCAATTCATGGTCGAGCGACCGAATATGAGTTAAAGACTTCGAAGCGCATAATACGCCACGACACCCATCGAGCTTTTCGACTGCTTCATCCCGTTTTTCTTCCCGTTTTTTTCTCTTTTTTTCTTTGGGAGGGGAATTTTTTTGGTTGGCACTCAATTGATAGCTACATCATTCTTCGAAAATAACGAGGACAGGCTTAGATCAACCGATATCTTCATCATGGCGCCTGTACGTGACCCCCAAACCAACCCCCTCCCCTCGCAAACCAAAAAACACCCACACCCAAGTAAACACCACGCGCACGCCATCTCGAGGAGCAACAAAACGAGGATTGGCTCCTTCTAGACAGCCATTCTCTTCTCCTACCGCTAGCATGTGATTGCTATCCCCTCGCAGATACATTAGTAGCGTTTGAAAATATGTGCTTACATCTTATGAAACCCCTTTTACTCCGAGTAGCGCCATCAGACACTCCCTGCACCACAGACGACATCCGCCCGTGAGGCTCGACAAGCATTTTTCTGCAGCTTATGTTCGAAAGGCTACTCGCGTATGAACGATTATGAGGCCCATCTTAGCAGCTATGATCACACACACAAACAGCGCCTGAAGGATATGAAAGCAATGGTCAAAGACCCCAGCGCCGGCGCCCGCGCTCGGAAGGCAGAAGCGAAAGCCGATGGCCTTGTGAGTCTAAAAGTATTTGAAGGCGAAGCCACGAATAATGCCGGGGGTGGCTTCAAGAAGGGCGGTTTTAGGAAGTCGGGATTTAAATCTACATCCGACTCCGCCACGATTGCAGTAACCCAAGCCACCGGGAGCACCGACCAGCTTTCTCTCACTACAAAATCCTCTATCAGCTGTGTGCCAACAACCGCCTTCGAAAGGGCCACCCGAGAGCTCGAGGTCTTGGGAGAGTCCGATCCGGATGAGGATGGTTACGGAATATATGACCCGAGGAGGCCAACTGATTAAGATCTTTCGAATCACCCCGCCCGTGACTGCAGCCTCGTCCTCCTCCTCCAATAACAATTAGCATCATATCGGCTACGTCCCCGCTCAGCGAGCCACCCCGGTATCGCCACAGCGGACTCATAATACGTTCTTGCCATCTTTCACTGAAGCCAGGCGACCTGTGTTGCTTTAGAATGCAGGAGAATCTTACTCAGAAGGACCAGCTTCCTATTTGCTTAGCGCATGAATACCCCATTTCTGCCTGTGCGTATTAAAAGGCACCTAGTAGAAAAATGGTGAAGGGGTCACATACACGCTCAAGTCGATAGGGGCACACGCCTAGAGCCACCCAATTTGGTTTATCGCCCTTTGGGAGCTAAAGAACGACACTTCTACGGTACCGAGACATGTGTCGCAAAGGGGCACTTTACTTTGACAATAGCTGGCCAAGACAAGTCACGGTTACCACGACATATAACCCCTCTTTGAAAGGGCATCAAACCTGAAGCCCGGAAGTCTGCAATTTACAGGATGCTTGGACTAGCAACAGGATACGACCATTTTGGGTCATCAATCAATGGGGATGAGACTCCCGCGGCATCGAACCGATTCTGGTGCCTTCCGCCTGACGTACGGGGCTCTAGGGTCTAATAGTGATGATAGAACTCTAGCTATCAGGAGACTAGGAGGATATTGCTCAGTTGCCCGCTCCATTCCGGCTCCAGCTCAGGTGCTTGATAGTTGTGATATCAGCCCCATTCCGCTTTGCTATTTTTGTATTAGCGGATACCACGCATCCGAACGAAAATAGAGAATTTAGTAATTCGCACGACATGCACACATACACACATAGATGTAAAGCTCAGTAGAATCACCGAACAAAGGCACATGCCATAGCGGGCAGTGACCTTTGCGGTCAACTTTAAGCTCATGCGTCATACGAAGAGGGTAGAGTTAGGTTTGGACAGTACCGAGGTAGGGTAGGGCGATTTCTCGAACTCGATTTGAAGGGCAGGTGTAAGAACATGGGCCGCACCTTGGTATTGTCAAGTCAATGGAATGGATCCTTTCCGTTGACCGTTCTGCCTCGCCGCACCTTTCAACAACAGACATCCTAGAGTATTCCTTCATATCCGGGATCAGGGCTGTCCTGGCGTTTATTGCCAATGCCACCCCCGCGATGAGAACCATGTTAAAAATGTGAGGGTAGCACAGATGCATAACTGAGGCCTAGACCGACCCCAGACCGTGATTAAGGCCTAACAGGTTCAACCTGGCCGTATTCCATATCTATATCTAGCACACGGAGCCAGAGATCACAAGATACTGTATGCCCCGGTATCCTTTATTGTTTCAGTCATCGATTCGCGTAACACGTTTTATTTCATAACCCGGCTCAGATCCGCATGTCAATACGGCGTGTACTCTCAACGACAACCCGACACTGCAGCATATTTTCCGGGTTCACTCGTGGTAGATTACAATAGGCGGCTTTCCGCATAAGCGTATATATCATCTAGGTTGAGGAACGTGTAGTTCTGAGGGCTATCGCCGATCGCGTTGAGCATGGTGGTAGGCGCCCTGACCGCAACTGCAATCATGTAGTCTTTCCCCAGACTCATTAATTTCATCCTCACGCCACAATCTCGCTTCCCATCCCTAAGCACCTCAATCTCTCGGGTCGTGTCCTCGCGCGCCAGAATCTCGCCGCCATGATCTTGCGAGGCTGGCGGAGGCGGCCTAAAATTCGGAAATTCTAACCCGAGGATCCAATCAGCTAGTAGCGCCTCGCCAGTCATCTTGACATATGCCTCTTTCAAAGCCCAGAGAGCATAAAAGTACCTCAGCCTTTCGTGGACGCTTAAGTGGCGAGATTCAAGAGACCTCAGGTACTCAAGTTCGGCGGGTGAAAAAATGGCGTCATAGACGGAAATAAAATCTGTCCAACCACCGGTCCTCTGAAGAGTCTGCACATCGCGACTGCGCCTTTCGGCGCAACTCACAACATCAACCCCAACCTCAATCCTTGCGGTTTCTGATACAGCTGTCGAGGGTGGAGCATTATTGGTGCAAGGTTTTATGTAACCAGTGACTCCAAATAACACCACCAAGCCATCCTGATGGCTAACATTGAACACGAGAGGTTCTTGTCCGGCACTATCAAGAAAGACTGGCTTACCCCGCGTATCGCGGATAGCCTCGGACGCAGACCACGGCAGCGACGTGGCAAAAGATATAGCGTAGCGCTTGAGGAGGAGGAGGCCAAAGAAAGTTTTGCGTCTCGAGTGAAGACGTACTTCAAGGCAGCGGAGCGCTCATAAGCTGAGATTAAGCTCAAATAGGGGATGCCTAGAGGGCTCAAAGGCCGAAGGAGGCATGGTAAGAATGGGATATCTTGAAAACTCCTCGCGCAATGAAAAGTGGCGACGGAGGCCATGGTTTCGAAATCCTACCCACAACTCCCTATGAAGATACTTCAGGGTGGAAGTTTTGAGAGGCCCCTCCACTCCGCTGCGGGCCTCGCTGGTGCTGTGTGCGAGGAAGCGGGCACTCACTCACCACTGTTTCAAGTTGGCTTGTTTCAGAAGCTTCAGGAAAGAGACACCTCGTGTCAACAATCCACTGCAATGTAGTCAACTCGCTGCTTGTCATGATTTCGTGGAAATTATACTGGTGCATTCGGCCTTTTATTCCTTCCTTACAAGCACCTCTCAATAAGTCGTGAACGTTGATTTCTTGAATAGTCGAGCCTCGCAGTTGCTGCTACAATTGGTCCATGTCGATGACTGTTCTCTCATTATATAATCGCTGGCCAATTGAATCAGACGGAGAGTGGCTGACACTAGTCAGACGACGCTCCGCCAAATTTCCAAATCGTCATCCTCACCTTCGTGAAAATAAAGTCCGTCCTTGGGATATTATCTTCCCAGTATTAGTATATCTTTCTGACACATCGAGGATAACTCCACTCCTTTTAAGGTAAATTTAATACTTCAAAGAGCAGCAATCCATTACGAATCATCTACCCTCAAATCCGAACACCTGCCGCGCCGCTTGCCGTTAACCCATGACCAGCGTTCGTTCTTCAAAGAATTACCCGCCCCTCACGCACATAGATACCCTACGGGAGACGGGCGGGACTCCCAAACCTCTTGATTTTATGTCTCCCTGTGGTACGCCATCATAATTGACGTTGAGGCGCTATGGAGACTACATCTACCCCGGCGAAGCCCTCAAGGGCAACTCTGATTCCCTCCTTCAGCTCGATCCTACCCCCATTGAGGCCGACGCTCTTGCCGACGCTCTTGCCGACGCTCCTGGGACACCTTCATCTTCTCGGTCAAATGATCTGGCTTGCTCCCGCCCTCATACCTTTGATAGCCCATTGGTAAATCATGGTAGTAGTTGTCCACCAAATCGTACTGGTGGCGGGCCTATTTTTTCTGTAGGCGATGCCCTCCTCACAAAGCCGTGGTTGACAATCGAGCCCTCATGTTACTCCTTTGACCACCACACCTTGCGCTTCGCCTATTTTACTAACATATTTAGTGTCTCGTGTCCAGCGGTACTCCTCAATTACGCTCTCTATCTTCACATCCATCCACCTCGCCAACACTTCACTTATACCCCTCTTTACTCGATCCGTTTCCGCATCCGAGATGTATCTTCTCCAAGCTCGCGAAGTTTATCAAACAAGTCTCTCCGAGCCCCTCTTGGTTGGATTTCCTGTGCTAGCGCATATCGCCGCAGGTATTGCGTTGCGGTTCGTACGCCGCTCCCAGAATCTTGGTCGCTACGCTACCAACCCAGCTTTAATGAAGCTCGAGGCCCATACATCACCTGCGTCCGTCCCACGGGCATGGCCAGCGCTTAGTTTCATTAGTATATCCGGTTATGTGTTTTTGGTCTTCTTCGCGGCCCACATCACCATTAATCGCATTATACCACTTGCAGTTGAAGGTGACAGTTCGAATATTGGCCTTGCCTTTGTCGCCCACGGATTCTCTCGTCATACCGCCCTTTCTACCGTATCTTACCTAGGGCTTCTAATTACAGGCTGTAGCCACATTGTCTGGGGCGTATCCAAATGGCTGAGTATTGCCCCAGATACGGCCGAGTGGACCCGGAGAAATGGCGCGAGGGTGCCCAAGGGTCGGAGGCGAGCTTGGTTTAGCATTCATGCCACTTCCCTCGCCTTTGCAATGCTTTGGGCCGCCGGGGGCTTGGAATAGTGGGCAGAGGGGGTCTTGCGCCGGGGTGGGTAGGAAAGCTCTACGATGGGCTTTACACTCGCGTATGGTTGTAGTCCCCATGCCGCTCCTGTCTCCGCCCTTACTTTCGTCATTTTCATGCCCTCCAGCTTGCTTTATGGATATCCACTATCTGTTTGTCCTTGTATACTACTTCCAAGAATTTATGGTTGTACGTAGCTCCGCACAGCCCCAAGTCCTAAAATATGTAGGTTTTTCTTTGATGAGGCCGGAGAATAGATATCCCACAAACAGGCGACGACACTGGCCCTTTGTTTTTAAAATCCGCTCTCCTCACAGTCTTGGCCCATGCTCATACCATGTACCTGGCCAAATTCTGAATGATCGCTCTTTCAGCTAGCCTACATCCTCCGGTTTAATTCCGCATCACATGGTATACGCCCCAGTGCCGGTGCTGCCAAATTTGGCAGTTGCAAGCAACTCCGCCCTCGTTAACGCTGAAAAGGAAGACGAACATTGTATCAGGAGCATCGCAGCCTACAAGCAGGTTAATCGACACATCTATGGATTTAGCCTTTGGTGCACTGGTCATTCTGACGGATCTAAGGTTCCGTCGTTCAAGCGCGTATGTGGAGTTCGCATAGCCCAGCATTGAACTGGTCATTCGCATCCACGAACATGGGACACGCCAGTCCGAATATACTTGTATAAATGCCATTTTGGACGCGAGGAGCCAGAGAAGTGAATCAAAGCTAGGATGCGGACCTCTGGTGCAGGGATGAGAGCGATGAATATTTATATTGGTAGTTTTGTAGGGCAATTTTCGTCTATTTCCCTAGCCCACGCAATCCACTTAATTTAGATGTTCCGCTTTTCGGTTGGATATATGACACAGTCTTTCAAGCAATCACACTTGACGGGTCGTTCAAGCAGTGAAAAACTTCACATCTCCCACGCTTAGAAGGCCAGCACCCTGCAGTCTCTTCACCTCTTCCTGCCAGGCCGCTTTGATTTCCCCAGAAACCCTGAGTCCGGACAGTCTAGCGGCGAGAGCGGCGATATCCTCATTGTCAAGCTTCGACTGAACTAAATCAACTTCGGCTAAGACCCCGTCAATTATCGCCGCACTTGGTTCACCACTGGCAAAGTAGTTCGCATCCTTAACAGAGCCCTTGAGAATTCGCTTGTTCTTCTTTGCAGCATTTTTGCGGCTTCTTTTGCCTTCTTTGCCACTTCCCTGTCAGCTTTGGCGGCCTCTTCCGCCGCCTTGAGAGCCTTGGCAGCCTCCTCTTTCTTAGACTGTGCTTCTTCTTTTGCCTTGCGCTCAGACTCCTCCTTTTCTACCCTCTTCTGATTTTTCGCGGCATTAGCCTCTTTCCGGAACCGTTTGATACGCTCATCGCTGGCGGAACAGTCATCAAGGAGTTTCCGCAAGCGAGCGTTGTCCTCGGCCTTCTTCTTTTTCGGGCATTGGCATTCTTGCGTTCCATGTGCCGCTTTTGATCACGATTTTCGTTATCATCCGGCACATCTTCATCGAGATATTCGAATGATCTCCAACTATCGAAGTTGTACCAGAAGTTATAGAACGTCTCAACCTCGTCCTTACTGGATTTCTCATTTCCAAATGCCGGAACAGGATGACTTTTGGAGAATCGGGCCTCGGACTTGAAAACCCCACCCCAAAGCTTGTAAAAATTTCCCTTGGAAAGTTGCTTCTTGCTTGGAGGATCAACATCGGCTGCTTCATCAACCGAGTCATACTGGCGTCGTCTCACAGGATCGAGTAGAACTTCTGTCGCCTTTTGAATGCATTTGAAGAAGTTATCATCATCCGTCCGGCCCGCAGCCGCCTTCTTGTCGGGGTGGTGACGAAGGACCTTCTTGCGATGGGCTCGTTTAATCTGGTCCTCTGTAGCCTTGTACCGAAATTTTGAGAGACCAAGTACGGCATAATGATCCTGATTCTATAAGTTTATGGTGTTTAGCGTTTGGGGCTTTGGAAAGCAAGGTCATTAAGGGGTCGCGGCCGCGGCATTACCTTCCAGTCCTTTGCGTCACGTTGCAGCATAAGAGGATCCTCATCCTCACTTATGTCACTGTAGTCATCGTCTTCAACCTTCTTCGCCTTTTCTTGTGCCTGAATTCTATCGTCTTCGGAGAACGTGCGCTTATGTCGAGCGCGGCGGGCGTGGGCGAGAAAATGGGGACCGACAGGTTCAATCGTTCGTTGTGTTGCGGCAAAGATATGTCCAACAGATTTGAAGTCTTTCTCTACGTTCCATCCCACCGGGAGGGGCGGCAGAAAAGTATTGCTGGCGCAGCCATCGTGTATGAGTTGAATGATGATTACAGGCTAGTTCTAGATGAAATTTTTCGACCGAAACTTTTTTTTCCTTTTCGCGGGTTGAATGTGATTTTGGCGTTTAGCGGGGCAAGAGCTCAGCCACACACCCCATGCGCCACACATTCGATCTCGCAGCTCATCAGCAAAGGTGTGAAGAGAACGAGAGGCCAAAAGTAAAGCTCCCTTTACAGCGCGTAATGAAGTCCTCAACGCAACCCGGCTATTGAACCTATGGTAATAATAGCACGAAAACTTTTGGGGCACAGAATGGGAAGAACAATGGATGACCCAGGTAGGCACGGTGTTGATGACTAATCTAACTTTTTCCCCGAAAGGTTCGTTTCACTCTCGTGATAAGGCTGATGTTTTCATTCCCGTAAAAGTCCTTGTCCTCACTCACTGTTGAGGAAGTTTCACACCATCCTAGCCATGGCCTTTGCTGCATACCGAAGCCTTTTTCGGGCCACGCGGCTTGCCTTTCGAGGTTTGTCGGGCAGTCTGCCAATACTCTTTTCGTCACTAACTCTATCCAATGGTTTCAGATGACCGATTCCTTCTCAACGCGGCAAGGAATCAAATCCGAGCCGAGTTTCGTAATGCGCCGCCGATCTCCCAGTCAAGGGCAGAATATGAGAAACGAATTAAGCATGCCCATGAGGTTGCATCCGTATTAAGAGCCAATGTCGTTCAAGGTGTTCGAGAAGAGAGTGGTGATGCGTATAGTAAGCTGTTTCCACGACTGCACTCGGCTTCGCGTTCAATCTAACTCAACTTTAACTGTAGAGCTTAGGATACATAGTGAGACAGAACGTGGTGACAATGATAGCATAAATTCACCAAATCTGAAATTGGGGGTGGTGGATGTGGTTGCAGTTGATTCCATGGCGTTGGAACAGGGCTTTGTCCCCGGCCCCGAGGCAATTCGCTTTAACCTGTATCGCGCAGCCTACTGATACTTCGACTAAACACCTCACTAATATATATCCTGCCCGTTTAAACGCCTAGGTGTTCCTTGTATATTCATTTGACCCACATTGCACTCGACGCACCATGATTCCCGTTGTTACTGCACCTTAGAAGCCATCCAGACTCGCATACCCGGGCACCTCGGTAGTTCCTGGTGGAGCAACAGTAGCCAGCTGATCAGATGGAGTCCCATGGGACTCTGCGGCAGATTCTTCTCGTGTCTCAGAGTTCTGGCCGCCAGCCCTTGGCTTCCCGCTGACAATGGTGCGACGGGCATCCATTAACATCTGAGACCTTTGTTCTCGATTCATATTGCCGACAGCTGAAGGCGCCTTCCAACGGACGCGTAGAGGACAACCCGCAATTACTGCACGTCCCTGGCAAGAAAGAGCGGCCTTCTCCGCGGCCTCGCGAGTTTCAAAGTTGATAAACGCGCAATGAGACATGTGGGAACATATTAGACTTTTGATTTTACCATGCGGTTGGAAAAAGTCTCGGATCTTATATTCGGGAAGGTCATCTTCGACGCCAGTCAAGAACAGCGACATGATGCTCTCGTCATCAGGTGGTAGCCAGTCTCTCGGCCCGGGAAGTGCGGGTGACAAACTGGTTGCGTGGGGCTGGAGTCGGGTTTGCCGCCGTGTTCCAACTGTTGAATTCGTACGGCTATCCCGAGTTCGAATTGGTCCAGGCCCTCCAAGGCCAGAGCCCACTGCCGAATGTCCACGAGATATAACAGCACCGGTGTTGTCAATTGTCGGCCCCTTCCTAAAATACGGCTTGCTCGTGGCTAGTCGGCGCAGTAACTCCCTTGCCTTCTCATCCGTCTTCTCGTACTCCTCAACACCACCACGGCCCTCTTCGATAGCGCGCTCGTTGTTCTGCGCAAAGTACTCGCGATTTACATCCGAGGTTGGTCCCGGAGCAACCATCTTGAGTGCAGCATCGCGTACAACAAGGGGTAACCCAAAGGAAAGATCCAGCATACAGGACTGGCAGCAGTTCTTCAGCCGGGCACAAGTCAGGCATACATTGCATCGTCGTTTCCGTCCCTGCGATCGGTCTGCACTCCAGCTAAATACTGTAAACGGCCGCGTACACTATTTCAGAAGAGGACACCATTGTTAGTGACCTGCTTGAGAATGAAGTGCATGGTAGGAATACTACACATACTAGTTTGCATTCTGCACCATAATCTTCCTTCAACATCTTCACGTAAGGGTTTTCGGGTAAGCAATTTTCGCAAATGGAAGGGAAATCCGTCGACTCCCATCCTGATCTATTGAGATCTTGTTTGATTTGGGGAGGTGGCATATTTCGCGATAGGCCTGCCTAGAGCTGGTGGTGTTCGTGGAAGGTTAGAGAAATAGTAACGAGACGGATACCCAGGTGTTCGAGATTACTTCATCAGTCTGGATGGCATTTACGTAATCCTCTAAAAGGCAATGCTTATAACACCGACTTTTTAGTATTATGGCAGCACGCGAGGACGCGAGGACCCAGAAGACAAGAACGCTCGTATTCGGATTCAGGCAGTACCCATGAATAGGTTTTAAGGAAGGAGATTACCTCCCAAGTCTTAATGTCTCTGTCTTTATGTATCTAATACATGGTATCAGTAACGAACACTGCTATGTTTTGAGTACTAGGGACCTCTTTCACATGAAAGTGGTTCTATGAGGAGGGAAAAGAGGAAATAAAAAAGGGTGAAGCCACCCGAATACGTGAGCAAGTAAATAGCCTTCTCCCCTTCGTCGTCTGTTATTTAAGTCCCTTGATTTTACCACAATCCAAACCCAGTGGCAAATTTTCTCCTTCTCTGAAATTCATTTGGAAGTCTAGTCCAATCTTTACACCATTATCCTCATTTGCCTTTCCTGCCAATCTCCAGAAACCGTCATGGCGCCCTCCACCATCTCCAACCTCGAGCGAGAGGATCACAATCGCGACGCAGCATTCAATAAAGCAATGCACGGCACCAGTGCGAAGGCGACCGGTGGAATATCCGCTATGCTTCGAAAAATACCACTGCGCAGAAGGTTGCGTCGGAAGAATACTTCAAACATTGGGACAACAAGGCTGCTAAGGATGAGACTGCGGAGGATCGTGCAGCAAGTTTCTTGGCTTCATCACAGATGCTGAATAGATTCTAACTACCGATATGCAGGCCCGCACAGCGGAGTACGCAACCCTTACTAGGCAGTTCGTTTTCAACCCACCCGACATATGCGCTATCTACGGCTTTATTAACACATTGATAGTTACTATAACTTAGCCACCGATCTCTACGAATATGGCTGGGGCCAGTCATTCCATTTCTGTCGCTTTTCGTACGGTGAAGCTTTTCATCAGGCGATTGCGCGACATGAACACTACTTAGCGCACAGCATCGGGATCAAGGAGGGTATGAAGGTCCTCGACGTTGGCTGTGGCGTCGGTGGTCCGGCTCGTGAAATTGCCAAATTCACTGGTTGCCATGTCACAGGACTGAATAACAATGACTACCAAATTGAACGTGCTAGTCAATACGCCGAAAAGGAAGGACTAGCGGGCCAGCTTGATTTTGTCAAGGGGGACTTTATGGTAGGCTTCGATGCGCCTTCCAACATACATTGTTGGAAATATCTCCGTACACTAATCTTACCTTTCTCTGAAGCAAATGTCATTCGCCGATAACACCTTCGACGCTGTCTATGCCATTGAGGCGACTGTCCATGCCCCAACTCTCGAGGGTATATATAGCGAGATTTTTCGAGTTCTCAAGCCAGGCGGCGTTTTCGGTGTATACGAATGGCTGATGACGGATGAGTACAACAATGACGATTTGCATCATCGAGCTATTCGGTTAGGGATTGAGCAGGAGACGGTATCTCCAACATGTGCAAAGTTTCGGAGGCATTAGCTGCAGTTGATGCTGCTGGGTTTCAGATGATTATGCACAAGGATCTCGCAGCAGGCGATGACGCCCTGCCATGGTATTGGCCACTCTCCGGGGAATTGAAGTACATTCAGTCTGTTGGCGATATCTTTTCGATCGTTCGCATGACACGATGGGGGCGAACAATCATGCATAATTTCGCCGGCGTTATGGAGACAATTGGTTTGGTACCCGCCGGCACTAAGAAGACGGCTGACAGCCTTGCCCATGCGGCCGACTGCCTCGTTGCCGGAGGGAGGGAACATCTTTTACCCCAATGTATCTGATGGTCGCAAAAAAGCCATCCAGCTAGGTTCACGAAGAAACCGACGAACACCAACTATCCGACTCACTCGCACTCTTCGCAGATACCGAAGCCATTGACCACCTGATCCATCCGGCGTGAGGTTCCGGACTGGCCGAGGCCCAGGAAGTTGTGTGGAGCAAATATAATTATACGATATGATAATGCGTGTATATACATCAATAACCATAGTAATAATTCGAAAGTATAAACAGCCATCATCATTAGCAGATAGATGGGGAAAGTGGAAAGTGAGCAGAGAAAATGACAACACACCTACTCTACCTCATCGGGGAATCCAACGAAGTGAGGTCGGATTTCTTCGCAGCCCTCACTCAGCGTATTAGTCGCGGCCATTCTTAACCCCAACAACCAATTTCAAAAGCTATTCATGGTTTGTAATCGGGATTCACATGTTCATCTTGTATGCAACCAGGTGCACAAAGGAACCAGTCGTGACCCGCGTTAACGCCGATTGATAGAGCAGGTGTCAGCTTCCGGTCTAGACTGCAAAACACTTATTGTGAGCAATCGCCGATATTCGAGCCATCAATGGATGAGAGACGCACATTCACCAATTGACAATTCAGACCTGAATAGCCATCAGGGGTGCTGATCAGTGTCTGTCAGGGATTGTGGGACACCTGACGACACATAGGGAGCGTAGATTAATAGTCGAATTCTCTTTGGAGTCATGGTACCAGATACTTCTTGGCTATGGGAAGACCCTTCTCCTAGCCAATAAGGACAACGCCATCCGTTTTGATTGCTGTGTCACTTCGTACCCTCTACCTGTTTCGATTCATTCACGGGAGCTGCCACAAACCCCCAGCGAAAGCTAAAGCTGTTGAGCTTCCCCAACTAATTTTTTTTTCCCCTGTCGGAAACAAATTCCCTCTTTCGACCCTCTCACTCTCCATCACCACTTCCTAACCTTCACTTGGAGCAGCCAGTCCTTTACTCTTTATCAGAACGCAAACACGTCATTCCTCGGCTTTTTGAGTATTTTGGAGCCTTGCTAGCAGAAGTTCGCAAATCCCTCAACAGCCGCATCACGATAGTTGATCGACAGGGCGATAATCCAATCATAACAATTAAAATGTCACGATTCGTCCGCCACACATCTCGACTTACTGCTCCGGCAAGAGCAACGCCCTTCATCAGGGTTTCTTTTTCGCCGACTCTACGTGCCGCTTCTCAAGCTAGAAGCTATGCCTCGGCGGGCCTCAAGGAGTATACGGTTCGCGATGCGCTAAACGAAGCCTTGGCCGAGGAGCTTGAGTCAAACCCAAAGGTCTTCATATTGGGTGAGGAGGTAGCGCAGTATAACGGCGCTTACAAAGTCACCAAAGGTCTACTAGACAGGTTTGGGGAGAAACGAGTTATCGATACGCCAATCACCGAGAGCGGGTTTTGCGGCCTTGCCGTTGGCGCGGCCTTGAGTGGCCTTCATCCTGTGGTATGTATCATGAGTTCCTTCACTGTCTTGAGACCCATTATCCATTGGTACCGTATCCATGTAGATGTCCACCTACTAACACCAGTTACTATAGTGCGAGTTTATGACATGGAACTTTGCGATGCAAGCCATCGACCAGATCGTTAACTCGGCGGCAAAAACCCTTTACATGTCCGGGGGCATTCAGCCTTGTAATATCACATTCCGTGGACCGAATGGTTTCGCTTCGGGTGTTGGAGCACAGCACTCGCAGGATTACTCCGCATGGTACGGAAGCATCCCCGGTTTGAAGGTCGTGGCTCCCTGGAGTGCCGAGGATGCCAAGGGCCTTCTCAAGGCAGCCATTCGAGATCCGAACCCTGTTGTTGTTCTCGAAAACGAGTTGATGTATGGCCAGTCCTTCCTATGTCAGAGGCTGCGCAGGGCAGTGATTTTGTCATTCCGTTTGGAAAGGCAAAAATTGAGCGCACTGGGAAGGATCTGACAATCGTTTCCCTCTCTCGTTGCGTTGGTCAGTGCTTAGTTGCTGCAGAAAACCTCAAGAAAAATACGGCGTTGATGCGGAGGTTCTCAATCTTCGGTCCGTGAAGCCGATGGACGTCGAATCTATCGTAAAGTCCGTCAAAAGACGCGCCGACTTCTTGCAGTTGAGTCTGGCTTCCCGCATTTGGCGTTGGTTCGGAGATCCTGGCTTTGACGATGGAATATGCTTTCGATTACCTCGATGCCCCTGCGCAGAGAATTACCGGCGCCGAAGTTCCCACCCCATATGCCCAAAAGCTTGAAGAGATGAGTTTCCCAACGGAGCAACTGATCGAGGACTATGCAGCGAAGATGCTCCGTGTGTAGAGCAGGGAAGCCACCAGTCGTCGACAAAGGAGTGCTGAGCAGAGCGCTACATTGGCAGAATAAATAGGCCCCATTAGGTGGAGGAAACTCCGATTTTGTTTTAGAAGAACCGGAGTCGGGGTCGTGGCTTGATCGGGCCCAATGTCCAAGGATGGAGGAAGCATGTATTCACACGGGCGTGTATTCTTGTACCACTCACCACCACAACACACATCAATCGCTTTGAGGTTTGGTGGAACCTTAACTGTAACTATATCTTCATTCCACTTAAGGCTGTAAGCACCAACAATAGTTTTCGGGCCTCGGTTTCTCAGCGAGGTACTAATTGCATTCGCCGACGTGTTGCTAAAGCCTACCCGTCAAAAAAGATTTTTTTTTAATTTTATTTCGTGCTTGCTTTGATTGATGTATCCCAGATGTAATGGATCTACTGGATCTGGATGACATGACCTCACCTGTTGCTGACTTGCTGTGAGCCTCAGGCGAATGAACCCCTCCCCCACATTCATGGACGGCGGTTTTTAAATACCACCTACATCCTCACCTGACCAAAACCTCGCAAAGCAGGCCGAGATTACGAAAAGCCCCAGCCAACCCTCAGACTACGAGTCTCAATAGAAATCTAAGCATCCATGGAAATTCCTGGGGCCTATACCTCACACCTTGTAGTGCAAGCGAATGACTGTGCACTCTCAACGCCCATGGACTCTCTACTCTCCAACTCCACCAGATGTTATCAACCAAAAGGAAGAGCGGCTACAGGCAAGGAGCACCTAAAGCAACATTTAGGTAGCTTATTGTTATCCCCTTCGCCTTCTTTCTCTTCTGGGTGGCTCGACGAGCTGCAACAGTACGTCCATAATCACCCCTTCGTCCTCTCAAAATACTTGGACCCCAGTCTTATCACAGCAACCCGCGGCTGAGCAGAGAAAGCTAAGCCCAGGTACAATCCCGAGGCGATGTACCTTAAGATCTAATTATCGGCGATTGGCAGACGTTGGGAAAGCCCTGTCGAACACAGAAACCTATTCCATGTTGCCCCCACTCAGACAAGAACGATTACACGGTTCGTCCGACTCGGACTTGAAGGTCGCGTCACTGGATATAAAAGCGTAACCGTTCCCGCTAACAGCGCTACGCCAAAAACTCCACCTCTTTCCTCCGAAGGCCTGCTGGACGAGCTGAGTTCGTCCGGGGCGCAGCGGGATTTTTCCCCTTTACCCCCGGCGGTCTCGATGGAATTGAAGCTACTGCCGTCTTTGAGGACCAGCTACAACATCCAAGTGCCCTTCGTGAGCGCACGCTAGCAACAAGCAAACTTGAACGGGTTATTACCTTTGGCGCGAATGATAGCTTGCTAGAAGTGGCTCCCGGTCTTGCACGTGGCATTGGATGGCGGAAGAGGATTGACTCTGCCGACGAGACCGAAAGACTAGAGATAGTGCGAGAACTCGGGGAGGAGCCTTACCAGCTGGCCGGGAGACTTGAGGCCGAAAATGATGCGGCTTTGCGCGCCGACACCAATCTTACGCCTAATGACGACTCCGAAGAAGATATTGATACCATTCTTCCTGTGGAATTTCCCGCTCTCGAGCCCCATGGAATGTTAGCAGCATCTAGCTCTCGGAGGGTAGGTCGGGAGTATGCGCATATGGTGGATATCAAATGCGAGATGTCAAATTTCCGAGAGCTTGTTCCGGACATGGCAAGAGAATGGCCGTTTGAGCTCGATACCTTCCAGAAGGAGGCAGTGTATCATCTCGAAAGCGGTGATTCGGTATTTGTTGCGGCCCATACTTCGGCAGGCAAGACTGTTGTAGCGGAGTATGCTATTGCACTAGCCGCGAAGCATATGACAAAAGCGATATACACCTCCCCGATCAAGGCGCTGAGCAACCAAAAGTTCCGAGACTTTCGGCTCACTTTTGACGACGTGGGGATCCTTACAGGCGATGTACAGATTAATGCAGAAGCCAGCTGTCTAATTATGACAACAGAAATCCTCCGGAGTATGCTCTATCGGGGGCTGATCTTATACGAGACGTCGAGTTCGTTATTTTTGATGAAGTCCACTACGTCAATGACTTCGAACGTGGTGTGGTGTGGGAAGAAGTCATTATAATGCTTCCCGACCACGTCTCCCTTATCCTTCTCTCTGCCACTGTCCCTAATACCCACGAGTTTGCTTCCTGGGTTGGTCGCACTAAGAAGAAGGACATATATGTCATCTCAACCTCAAAGCGGCCTGTACCATTGGAACACTACCTCTGGGCAGGCAAGGAAATACACAAGATTGTTGATGCCAACAAAAACTTTCTTGAAAGGGGCTGGAAAGCTGCCGGTCAGGCACTCCAAGGAAAAGCTAAGGTCCCAAATGACAGTGCCAACGGCGGTATTCCAGGACGCGGGAGAGGTGCTGTCGCCCGTGGTCATTCACGAGGAGCTGGTCAACGTGGGTCCTCTCGAGGCGTTACTCGAGGAGGTCGAGGCGGCCCTCCACGTGCTAGTCACACACCAGGCCACATGGGAAAACCCGGCCGTCCTGGTGGCTTCACTTCCGCCGCGCAGGATAAAACTCTCTGGGTTCATATGGTCCATTTTCTTAAAAAGAACAATCTTCTTCCTGCTTGCGTCTTTGTTTTTCTAAACGGAGGTGTGAAGAAAATGCAGACGCCCTGAGTAACCAGGACTTTTGCACTGCGGCCGAAAAAAGCGCCATTCATATGACGATAGAAAAGTCTGTGGCGAGACTGAAACCGGAAGATCGACTTCTACCCCAAATAATTCGCCTGCGTGACCTCCTGGGTCGAGGTATTGCTGTGCACCATGGTGGCTTGCTCCCGATTGTCAAGGAGTTAGTTGAAATTTTGTTTGCTGAAACCTTGGTTAAGGTGCTATTTGCAACAGAAACGTTTGCCATGGGCCTTAACCTACCCACCCGCACGGTAGTATTCTCGGGCTATAGAAAGCATGATGGTCATTCCTTTCGCAACCTACTCCCTGGAGAGTACACTCAAATGGCAGGCCGGGCTGGGCGCAGGGGTCTCGACACTGTTGGCTCCGTTATTATTGTGCCTCCAGGTGGGGATGAGGTCCCGCCTGCTGGTGAATTACGCGCCATGCTCCTCGGCGAGCCTTCTAAGTTACGCTCACAGTTCAGGCTCACTTACAACATGATACTGAACTTACTACGGGTCGAGGCTCTCAAAATTGAGGAGATGATTAAACGTAGCTTCTCAGAGCACGCCACACAGCAACTTCTCCTGAGCATGAGAAAGCTGTCAAGCTCTCTGAGGCTGATCTCGCCCGAGTCAAGCGCGACTCCTGCAGCATATGTGACGCAGCCATGGATGCATGTCACGACGCTTCCCAAATTTACCAGAAGTTAACAATTGAATTGCACAAGGGTCTTCTCGCGGTACCCGTTGGGCGCAAGATGTTTACTACACATCGCCTTATCGTCTACGATGTGAATGGAATTCGTACCCCGGGAATATTGCTTGCCGAGGGCGCAAGTTCTAAGACGTCCCCAAACAACCCAACTGTCCATGTCTTGGAAATCAAGACAACTAGAGGAGTCAGGGATTCTACGGATCTTCTACCGTTTATCCCAGAATTTTGGCCTCTGCTAACACCCTTACCGCAGGCGAAAAAGCATGTCCAGATCAAAACAGTTCACGTGCCCATCACTGCTATCTTGTGCCTCACAAGATACGTCACGAAGAATATAGTCCCGGATATCTTCCAAGGTGGTGACGCTCACCAAAAAGCCAAGGAACGAATCCACAGCCTCTGCCGGTCCTGGGACGGGATATGGGAAGAAGCCGACATGTCTCCGTTCAGGAGCCTATATCTACAGGAGCTTATTGAGAAGAGGAGGAAAGCGGCTGATACTGCATCGTCCTCTCCCGCCGTGCAGTGCCCTGATTTTGTCAAACATGTACGTACAGGAAACTCGTTATTTTTCTTAGCCATGCCTTGCTCGTCCTTTCGCCCGGCCGGCTCCGCCATACTGTGTCCATCGAACAAATTGCTAAATCAAGGTTTTCTATACAGTTCGCCATGTGCCATGACCAGTGGCTTATCAGAGAAAATATCTCCCAACTTCGGCAGTCACTTTCAGACCAAAACCTGCAGTTACTACCGGATTACGAGCAGCGTATTCAGGTGCTGAACGATCTTAATTTTATCGACGTAGATTCCCGTATTCAACTCAAGGGCAAGGTTGCATGCGAGATTCATTCAGGTGACGAGCTTGTTCTCACCGAGCTCATTCTCGATAACGTACTCGCAGAATACGACCCGGCAGAAATCGCCGCTCTTTTATCGGCCTTTGTTTTCCAGGAGAAAACTGCATGCGAGCCATCATTGACTAGCAACCTAGAGCGCGGGAAAACGACGATCATCGAAATTAGCGAGAAGGTAAACGCTATCCAGACATTGCATCAGGTTATTCAGTCATCTGATGAATCCAATGACTTTGTATCTAAGCCTCGTTTCGGTCTCATGGAAGTCGTCTACGAATGGGCCAGGGGCATGAGCTTCAAAAACATCACCGACTTGACTGATATTCTTGAGGGAACAATTGTTCGGACCATTACGCGACTTGACGAAACCTGTCGAGAAGTGAAAAATGCTGCTCGGATCATTGGAGACCCTGACCTTTACCGAAAAATGCAGACTGCCCAAGAAATGATCAAGCGAGACATCACGGCTGTAGCCAGCCTATACATGTAAGAGCGGGGAGGTTACATCGTTAAGTAGAACAATCAATACATCTCACTTATGAAGCCCAATGCCGATACGCCATGGGGATTTCTCGCCTCATATAGGTGAGAACGTGGCCGTAATGAAGCGCTCAGGACGCTCAATGACAATCGATGACTCCACCGAACTCCATTAACGCCATCCAAAATATCCCATTCCCCGTACAATGTTAATTATGCACCATATCTCTTTAACGGAATCAAGAAACTATCTTCCCTGCCAACTACGCCCTCAGGGCGCGAAGTCTCTGTTGGAGTTTGTCCTCTTCTTCAGCGGTCGGCTCAGTAGTTTCAGGCTCAGCTGCAACAGGTTTAGGGCTATTGAGCTCAGCACTTAGCTCAACACCTGCATCATCTGCCAGCTTTCCGAGTAGCTCGTGTACAGCATCGTCCGATACTTGGGCGCTTGTAGATTGGGCAATGGCGTCCTGATAGATGCCATTTGACATAGCATACTCCTCATTTTGCTGTTTAAACTGCTCAAGGGTGAGAAGGGTCTGTGTCATGTCATACAGTCAGTTATGAGGAATAGCCCTTAGGAAGGATTAAAACTGCACCTTCTCTGGGTTGACGTTTCTCTGAGCTACAGACATCGTCCGTGAGGAGCTCGCCATCATGTGCGTCATCCGATTCATTGCATTATTAGCCTGGATCTGGGCGGATGATAACTCTGCCATATCTGCCATTTGGTCCATTTGCTGTGCCAAGGCTTGCTTGGAGAGGAGCATCTTGGCTTTTTGATAAGCCTTCGCGGTTTCGCCCTTTTTCAGGAGCTTTACAAGAGTTAGGTCATGGCTCAAGGAATCGTGAGGGTGAGCTGTTGGTACGAAACCTCCTGAATCTGCTTTTTCAAGATGGGATCCTGTTTAGCGGCCTTTTGAGCTTCTCTCCGGGCTTGCTTGGCTTGGAACTTTGCTCAGCGGTTAATGCCATTTCTTCTTTGGATAATGAAGTGATGGGGTGGTTTTACCCTGGCCTGGAACTCTACTTGCATGTCCCGCGAAAGCTGTCGGTTAGACATTGTGTATGATAAGACAGCAAATATAATGGTTAGAGAGTTGAAAGGTAAAGATAGGAGGGACTTATATTCGATCAAGAGCTGTTTCGTGAGAGTATTTCCTGGCCTTGAGCACCGGTCACTGGAATGATGATTGCGAGGTTTTGGCGCGGGGTTGGGTGTTGACGATGTCATCGACCCCTTAGTCAGCGGGAAAGTTTCTTCCTCAGCCCACATGCACCACCAAACCTTATGCCAGGCAGGCATCTAGCTTTTATTTCCAGCTAAACGCTTAGGTAATGATTTGCTTTCTGATCTGCTTGCTTTGGTTTTACAATTAGGCAAGCAAGCCCACCAGAGGTAAAAGATCTATATTCCTTCTAGTAATTATATATTATCGGCAATATACTCCTCTTACTGCGGCCTCAGCCACCACGCTAATATGCGTAAATATTAATTTAGGCTTAATGAGTAAGCTCTAGTGTACCGAGAGGTTGAGGAGTACATGTAGCACGTCAAGTATGTTCAGGGTAAATGCGTGAATCTATGAATTCGAAAGGTCAGAAAGGCGTCGCTGATATTATTGAGAGGAAGAGTTTCTTCTTGGATCCAAGACATAGTGTATCAACATGATTTCAATAGACAGCAATATCATTTCTAAGGAATGGGACAACACCCCAGATATTCAGCCACATGCTCCTACGTGTCCTGCCACACCACACCGCAGCATTTCAGGGGGCTCCCAAGATTTTACCCATCGATGTACCTCGGTACGAAGTATCAATCGAAGTGTATGGTGTGCTGCAATACCAATATGACCCTTAGATAATATTATCCTGTCATCTGTGGATCCAGTGTCTATTAAAATTACATACAGTCGTTTAAATCCTTGAAGAAGAAGAGGGAAAAAGTACCTCGGTACCAGCCAACTAACGCCTCCTTTTAGGCTGCAGACTTGGCCAGCTGAAGGGGAGGTAGCCAGCGGCTGTGCAACACAGTCCCATCAGCTCGCCGAAGCACCTTCGCTCCCTAAGCTCCATGCCTCCAAAAGCGCTAAGGGTTGTGATTACTATTAGTCTTCACTCTCTTCCCTCTTCTTTCTCGTCTCGCGGGCCCTTTTGTGAATGTTCCTTAGTCATAGTGGAGGGTTAGGCATAACGAATGACTACATCTGACCGGACTGTGTTGCGAAGCAAGAGGTCTCTCAAAGCGCAAACCCCAAGGGAATTAAGGCCGCCGAGATCGAGGGTCTTACCGGAATCTGTGCCTTTACAAGTGAACGGCAAAGAGCTTGTTAACCCATCATTGCACCAATGTCCGACATTTCTGACAGCATCTTCGATGTCGACCTTGCAAGACATAAAAACAATTCCACAAATGGGGGAACCAACGGTCGCTCAAGAAAGTCGACCCGCCGGAAGATCTTTACTTGTGTGCACCAGATAAAGTCAGATTCGCAGAGGATCCGCCTTGCCACCAATCAACTTTAATCATGTCCGTCATTTTGGGAACCCCTGTTCGAGTTCTACTGAATACGGCATAGATTATTACAAGTAGGTCACAGTGTGAGATGTTCCATGTATCAACCCAGACCCAAAAAAGGGGGCGTGTCTCAGCGGCCCCCTTTCCAATGCAAGCCAACCGAATGCCTGAGGCCACAATAAGTAAGTTATGCCAACGTGTCCTTATGATAAAAGAACCCTGGCCCCGACAGTTGCACCCTGCTCAATTCCGTCCTCACTATCTTTCATCACCAAACACTTGGCCTTTCTTCCAACTCCAGTCCAAAAACAAGGTCAGGCGGACTCGCTCTTCTAGCGTCACAGTCGTTAATAGCTTTGTTCGCCGTGGTTGACAAGTAAAGGGTGGTGCTTGGCCTTCCACATCATCTAAGCGCTTTCATTCTGCTGGCGTGAGAAGTTGACGTTGCGACAGCCTGAATTCCCGCAAGTTTCTCTGTCATCCAGATTGAAAATCACGGGTCAGCTACGTCCTCCATACGCCTCTCATTACACTACCTCCACCTTGCAGAGGGCTTTCCCGGATTTGCAAGTATTTTTGGTCACCAACTCCAAACAGCCTTGCATCATGCCATCTACCTGGGAGGCGCAAGTCTCGCCCCTTGTCAAGTTTGAGGCATCTCCAGCAGAATCGTTTATTTCCACCCCTGGGGAAGCTTATCCTTCGCTCTTTGCTGTACCAGCCTCAACCAAGTCCTTTGATCCTATGGAAATGAGGACGCCGCCCCCGTTCAGTGATGAGAGGAACGAATCCGTAGGGTCGCCAAACACAGTGGCAACACCTGATGAAAGTGAACGGGCGACTTCAGTAGCATCATTCTCCGGAACAGCGGCTTCGCCAAGCGACAAAAGACTACAAAAAGCGGAAGTCATGGGGTCAGGTTCTACCCGAGCCAAAGACCAATCTACCACCGAGGTACGTACATTTGGGACGGGGCCCGATGCTTAAGGTGCAAACGACTAACAATCCTGTAGGAAACGTGCCAAAACGGAAGATGAAAAGGAACAGAGACGTGTGGAAAGGGTGCTGCGTAACCGTCGCGCGGCACAGTCATCGCGTGAGCGAAAACGTCAGGAGGTGGAGGCTCTCGAACAACGCAACAAGGAATTGGAAGCACGGGTCTTGAGCATTGAAAAGACAAACCTCTTGTTGCTCGAGGAGCTAAACAAGTATCGCCGTACCACCGGTGTCGTCACTAGGTCTTCGTCTACTCTAGATGCGCTGCCTTCTAACCCTGTTACCCTCACCTCTGAGCTCTTTGGTTCTCAGGGAAGCCACAAAACCCTGATGGATCGTATCATTTTCGCCGAGACCTCTCACAGCACGGTAGATCCCTCATCTCTTTCACCAAAAGCAGCAACACAAAACATGGATCAACTTTCTCCCGACCCAGAAACATCGCGGACAGCGGCCGTGACAGACGAGCGAATGTCCATGACCCAGACCCGAACACCATCCACCGAATTGACACAACGTCCTGCAGCGATGTTGTGCGACCTGCAGTGTCAACAGTCGGTGGATCCTCAGTCATGGACAACCTCTCAGATGTCACCGGTACAGCTTCAAACGCAGTTTCTCATCTTATCGACGCTTGTTTCCACCTGCCAGCGGCCACTGACACAGATAGCTATGTCCTTGAAAGCGGGCTTCTCTTCCCCCAACTCCATTGATTTTGAAAACGATTATATGGCTAGTGACTCGTCCACGCTCTTCCCGACCGACCCGTTCGACTTGTCACAGTTCCTCCATGAGGACGGTACTGGAAACGTCTCGACACAACGGGTGCAGGCAACACAGTCGCAGCAGAAGCCGAACTCGGTCTTCACTTCACCGACTTTGAGACTCACTTCTCTCCGGAAAATCTTAACCTGCAGCCCCATACTGGCGCGTCCACTCAAGGATGCGACGATGGAGGCCTTGCGGTTGGTGTCTGAGAGTTGTAACGATCAAGTCGATGGATTTTCGACCTCGAATTCGATATCGCGCGATGGTATGTCTGTACCCCCACTGTTACCTGAGCACTTTCCAACTCCATCCCAAGAAACCCTGATCACTCTCCTTTGGGCTTTAAAGGTTGAAGAGCGTCGAATTAAGTCGCATGCGGCTCCGACCGAGCGAAACAACAAGAAATCACCTATGTCCCCCAATGTAACGGGACTATTGGTGAGGAGTAAAAACGGCCGTGCGACGTTAATATCGCTGTGTCAAGTGAGAAACGTCGGTGCCTGAGATAAGACCCCTCGCTCAAAGGTCACATCACCATACCGTTATACAAGGGGCCTGGGTGCAGGATGACGGGAGGCGCGGCTCTGAACCTTCATCAGAACAAAAGCACGCTGTATTTTATATTTTACTTTTCCGGCGTTAGGGCGGATTATGGATCATCGAGGAAAAGCTCAAAGCTTACCTCCTATTTGCGCTGGCCACGGTGGAATTTAGTTTAGAAGGTCACAAATAGACACCAAGACGAGTATGAAATGAAAATTTGTCTCAAAGACTACTAAGGTCCCTCGATAAAGCCGGCATGCCTTGCACATGTTACCACAGCCCACCGCCCAGTTCAGCCAAGGCAGCCTCATCATCAGCAAAAAGATCTATATCTGGGCGGATGTTCCGCCCAGCAGCCTCACTGGACGCGCTATCTTGAAATTCTAGCATAACCAAGTCCAGTGAGTCAAGGTCTTCTTGATCACCATGGTCTAAAGTGCCTTGCTCGTGAATCCTGTTCTGTTCGTCCCTCTGAGTATTTGGACCCCCTGGCTTGACAAGATAGGCCGCTGCTGTGCTTGCAGGCCCTGGTCGACGAGGGAGGGTTTTCTCAACGCTGCCATCTTGCGTTCCAGATTGCCGTTGCCGTGTATCTCCTACCATCCATTCTTTACGCTTCTTTGCCACCGTTGATTTGTGGCCAGCTTTCTCTACCATAGAGAGAGCATCCAAAATTTGGCTTTAGGGAAAAGATCATCAAGCCAGAGTTGGTAAAGCGACAGCATGCGGGCAGCATCTTCAAACTAGATAAACGCAAGAGCCAAATCAGCAGGACAGGTCGCCAAACAATCGGCAAAAAGACGGGGCCCAAATACCTCATACCCCTTCCCCTTCAAATGAACTCTAGTTGCTCGGGCACGGAGCTTAGAGAGGCCTTCCTGGGATAAGAGCCTAGACATATATCAATTGACAATCAATATTGGTCCCACATATTCCAAATCGTGTTTCAGGAAGGGTTTCTGAGAGAGGGAAGGCCGCTAGGCACATCAGAAGATACCTTTGTTCATCGAGCCTTACTCGTGGGACACGAGCTATCCTCGCTACTGATATCGCATCCTCCAGGCCCAGGATTTCTCTTGAGTCCAATACCCTCCCACTGGCGGATGGGAGATGTGTCTGACCATCGCCAAAAATGTCCTCAAGATCAACGTCATAGTCGTCAAGATCACCTCTCGTACTGTAATCCAGAATATCCTCTTCCCCCATAATTTATCGCCCTCAGTCACAGAACATGGTTAAAATCGAGAAGGGCGTTCCGTTGTGAAAAATCGAATTAGTATATATATATACGTTTCGCTGCACGGTTTCCGGGTCAGAACTGGGTATGAACTTATCGGGTGTTTGTGTCAAATGAAATGACACCTTAATTATGTGGCGTCAAGCTACTGCCATTTTCGTGAACTGACACACACCCACCTCTTCGTCGACTTTCCTCCTCGAACGCCGAGCATGTCGCATGTCAGATCAAAATTATCGCCCTTAACCGACAAAATCTAGGCATTGAGAATCTTGTCAATTCCACAACTGTATAGAGGTGATCGTTTACACGACCCATACTACCATGGCCACTCATCAACCAGAAGCCACTGCCAGCAAGGTAGTTCAAACCGAATTCCCTGTGAGTAAATCCGTCACCAACTTCGGTTTCTTCATTCTTCTTCGCTAACCTTGAAATTAGCTAATTGATAATGACCCGTACGTGATGCTTTGGGCGGGAGCTTTTCTGACTTAACATGCTGATTTTATTATCCTGAAGACATTTCACGAGAGTCATTCGATATGCTCGACATTCTGACTACATTCACGGGTTAGCCGCCGGGGCTTTCGGGCCAGGCGCTTCTTTCATGGAGAAATTCTCGCCATCACGTGTTGGAAAAGGAGGGTTCGCTCCGGCTCTTAGCAGCCGGCGCCGTCGGTGCAGTGGGCGGCTTTCTCTACTTTTACCAGCGGTCTGCACGTAAGTATCCGCGATCGCCACGGCATCCATTTCAGCTATTGACTCAGTACCACCAGTCCGATTCTATGGCGCGACGGAAAATACACGTGAGGTGGACATGAGAGAGATGGTAGCCAAGGTCAAGGCAGGAACCGCTGTATGGAGACAGTCAGCTTACAGCACACATGCAGGGGTGGCGGCAAGGCAATCACGGTACTCGTCACTCTTCATGGCGATCATGCCATGGTTCAACTTCGTTAACCACAACCAGCATGGAGTAGATACAGCTAAATACTACCAGCAGGCGGAGCGAGAACTAGAAGCAGAGCGGTCACTTTAAACATGCTACAATAAACCCAGTGTATCATAAGCCCCAGAGCGGAGAGATATAACAGCACATAACTTATATAAAAGTATTCAACATTATTTATTAGAGTAATATCTTATATTATAGCTCTAGATATATATTATTCTCCCTATTATAGAGTTTAGTAAATATTTTCATAGGTTATAGTATATTATAGCTAGCTATTAAGAGAAAGGGTATATAAATTATTAAACCCTAATAAAAGTAAGCTTTTATAAATATTATTATTAATAAATAATATTATTAGAACTTTTTTTATAAGCTTTTATAAATATTATTATTAATAAATAATATTATTATAACTAAAAGTTATACTAATTAGCTTATAAATATCTAATATATTAGTAAATAGTTTATAAAATATAATAATTAGTATAAAAGTTATTAATTAAAATTAGATATCTTTTAGGGCCTACTTAACTAATATACTTCTAGTAGCTAGATAGTATACTTTTATATAAGTAGGCCTACTTAATATTATACTAATATATTAGCACTAGTTATAATATAGGCCTACTATAGTATATCAATCCTATTTATAGTAGGTAGAGTATACTATATATATACCTTAATTATCTACTATTAAATAGCACTATTAATCTATACTATCCCTCCCCTCTATTTACTTTATAATTAATATTATAAAAAGATAAAGACTACTAAGAATTAAAGAATATAAGTACTAATTATTTAATATTATTAAATAAGGTTATATTAATTATTTTATATTATTAAATAGGATTACTTTAATTAATATCTAGTAGATTAAGCCTTATATATTTAGTATAGCACTTATAGTAGATATACTAGTATAACTTTTAATTAGGCTTACTTATATAAAAGTATATTATTAAGCTTAAAAGTATATTAGTTAGCTAGGCCCCTTTTTAAAGTTAAATAGATAATTACCCTCTTTATTAGAAACTTCTATTTCTAAAAGGTAAAGAAAACCTTATTTTAACCTATCTACTTATACTATATACCCCTATAGGGGTACTCTCCACCCTATTATAAACACCACCCTAAAACAAAACTATATTTACTACTACTATATTACTTTATTAAAATATATATAACTTACCTAATCTTACTTTAATTTCTTAGATATTAAAGGAGGTACTAAAATCTAAATATAATAAAGAAAGAGAGGATATCTCTTAAAAACCTTTAGATTTTAAAGATAAACTAAAGATCTAGGAAGTTAAAAAGTAGTTAACTAATAAATAGATAATAACTAGAAGAAATATTTAGTTAAATTGATAAGGTTTCTAATAAAGTAGAATAATTAGGAACTTATAGAAGCCTTAAGAATATAAAAATGGTTATTATTAAATATAAAAGAAAAAAAAAGGATTAATTAAGATATCTTTAGAAAAACTATAACTATTCTCTAAGAGAATAGAGCTATAATAAGAGCTATAATAAAGGTAAGAGCTATAATAGAGCTATAGTAAAAGAGGGGGAATCTAATTTCTATTTATATTATAAACCTTAATCTTTACCTCTAAATAAATAATAAATTTATATTTTAACTATCTATTTATATTAATAGATTATCTATTATAAAAGGTTAAATATACTTTTATATAAAGTATAGATATAATAAATCTTTTTATAATAGCTTAAATAATTATAATATTAATATAATAACTTAAAAATAAAAACCTAAAAGAATATCTAGAAAGGTTAGAGGATCTATTTAAAGAAGATAAAATAAAGAAAACTTATTATTTAAAATAAAATAATAGCTATTATAAAAAGTTAAAAAGATTACTATTTCTCCTAAGTAATAATCTCTAATAGATGACCTTTATTAAGATATATCTAAATAGCTTATATAACTCTATATAATAGGGAATTTAAGAAATAGAACTTAATTAAGATTTTTATAATTAAATTACCTATTATTTATTTTAAATATAATTAATATATAACTATTACTAAATAATATATAAATATTTATATTAACCTTAATAAAATAAGGGAATCTATAATATTTATTTAATTAATAGATTTTTTAAAAAAAAAAGGAAAACTTATAAAATATTAACCTTTAAGCTAAAAGTATAAATATAAATAACTATAATATTCATTAATAAAAATAAAGAAGAGATCTAAATATAATTAAATAATATATTAAAAAAAAATTTAAAGTTAATATCTAGAAACTAAAAATAGTTAATATTAAAAATAATATTAAGTAAACCTTAACTTTAAATAAATATTATATAGATAGATCTATCTAAAAGATAAATAGATATATTAAAATTAAAAAAGGTAAATAAGAAAAGTTAATAAAAACTTAGAAATTATTATAAAATAATATAATAAAAAAGTTAAAAGTAAAACTAATATAAAGAATATTATATTTCTAAATAGTTAAAGGAGATTTTATAAAATTTTATAAAAAAGTATTTAACTAAAAGATATTTATAAATTATAAAACTTAAAAGTTTATATTAAAATATAATTATTTTTAAGAAAATAATAAAGATTATACTTATTAAAAAGGGTTTAAAAAGAAGAAATACTAAACCTCTAAATATAATTAGAGAACTTATAGAATAAAAAGGGAATTAAACCTTTAAGTTTTAAATAAAAAGACTTTAAACCTTTTAAATAGATCTTATTAAAGGTTAACTTAAAGCTATTAAAGATTAAATAAAGATCTTTTAACTTTTTCCTTATTAGGTTTTTAATAAGTAAGGTAATCTTTAAAGAACCTTAGATTAGGTTAGCTTAAAGTTCTAGGGGTAATTATAAAAGAATAGTTTAAGACCTAGTAAAAAATAGCTATAATAAACCTTATTTATATTTTAAACCTATTTTAAATATATTTAATATTATAAAATTATTAAAGTTATTAGTAATTAAAAAGTTAATTTAAAACTAATATTTTAGATTTAAACCTAATTTAAATAAAGGATTAAAGAAGGTTTAAGAATTAGTTAGTAATCTAAGATCTAGATAGATATTATCTAGAAAAGGTAGAAATATAATATAAAAGAAGAGGTATAATTATAGAGCTAGAATAGAAAGGAAGGCTTTATAAGTTAAAATCTATATTTATAATTTAGTAAACCTATATAGAACTCTCTTTATATCTTATTTTATAATCCTCTATCTCTACTTAAGTATACTTTATATATCCCCTTATATTTGCTTTATTAACTCTCCTTTATATATAAAGGTTTTATTAATATATTATCTTCTTTTAAAGCTTTATAACTTATTTATTAATATCTATTTAACTTCTTCTTTTTATTATCTACTTTTTATAATAATCTTATTAATTATATATAGAAAGTTAAATCTTATTTTACTATCTAGTTTATTATATCTTTTATTAAATAACTTCTCTTTTTATATTAAATTTACTAAGTATAATATTAAAAATCTTATATTATTATTATATTATTTATAAAAAAAGGTCTTTTTAATATCTTTAATAAATTATTTTTATTATCTAATTTTATAAGATATATATTTCTTATATAATTAATAAGCTATTTTAAACTAATTTAAAATATTATATTAATTTAATTATAACTTTTATAATATAATTATAACTTTTATAATATAATTATAAACCTATATAATATAATTATAAACCTATATAATATTTCTTATTTATATTCTTATTTTATTATTATATTAGATATTTCTATATTATTCTTTTAATATATATTCTCTCTTTTTATCTTTTTATTTTATTAAGATCTTTATAATTATAGTAAGATTATATTTAACTTTCCTTTAATATTAATATTATTAGATCTTATCTATATCTTATATTTTAATAAAAAGTTTAATTTTTAGATTTAATTTTTAATATATCTTTTTTTAAATCTCTTTTAAGATCTTTTTTATAATAACTATATATATATTTATTATTTTATTATTATTTTCTTTTTTAATCTACCTTTTATTTTAATTATTATATTTTTATTAAATAACTTATAAATTATTATTATATTATTACTTATTAGTATTTATTATTATCCTTTAGGTAATTTAAATATTCTAATTCTAATTCTAATATTAGAATTAGGTTTTATAGGTTATAGATTATTAAAGTAGGTAGCTATTTACTAATAGTATTCTTTAAAAAGATAATAGATTCCTAATATATAAATAAAGGGATAATAATAATCTTAAATTAAAATAATATTATATTATAAACTTATATATAATATTATAATAACTAAAATAAATTATTTAAATATATAGTTAGATTATTAAACTTTTTAAAAGGAGATTCTAGGAAAACTCTAAAAGATAAAATTAAATTTATAATTATATTAAAATTATAAAAGCTAAAAATATAAACTATAGAAAGTTAAACTTATTATTACTTTTTAAATATTAATTTAAGAAATTAGTTTAGATTATATTATAAAGCTCTTTAAAGTTAGATTTAGATTAGAGAATAATAGATATAATTTTTATAATTATATATTATTTTTATAATAAAGTTTATTATTATATATAAAGATTTTTAAAACTTAACTTTATTTAAATCCTTTATAAAGAAATTAAATATTATTTAAATATATCTATTAGTATTATTAATAATAAAGGTTTATTTTATAAGTAAATTCTAAATAGAAATTTACTAAACTAAAGAGATATTAGATATAGGTTATCTATTATCTAATATTTTTAAATTAATAGATAAGCTAAAAGATAAATTTATAATTAATAACTTATTTAGAAGATATATATTTATAAAGGGTTTAATATAAATAGAAGTTTATTTATAATAAGTCTTTAAATTAAACTATTTAAACCTTATTTTTAAACCTTTTATAAATATTATTATTTTATTTTATAAAATATATATTATAACCTTTTTAACTTAAGATTAAAGAAATATAAAAGAGTTAGAATTATCTTTTATATATCTATAAATATATAGTTAGTTATAGTTAATTATAATAGAATATAAAAGAAATATTATAATAAATATAGAT